GCCGAAAAAAACCCATAATCGTTTTCATTTCGGCTTCGTCACCCCCACCGTGCTGCAGTCGTGCAGCGGGGGCGATCGAAGCTGCAGTTTTATAGCTGTAGAGGAAAGAACTCGTAAAATGCTAACAGCTTTTATGCGCTGCGGCATAAACAACAACAGACTCCGGCTTTATTGCGTTTTATAGTTTGTTAAAGAGTTTACAGCCGTTTTTTTGGGGGCCGGTTACCCAGCCAATTCCCTTCACACGATACTTAAACCTTTATCAATAATAAGGAAATTGATCATTAAAGCTTTAAATATGACTACCTCGTTTGTTTGAAAATATGTTTAGGAGAGGAAGCTGTATGATTTGATAACTTGTATTAAAATACCAATTACATTTATAGGACCTTTTAAAACTCGGCGCAATTAAACCGTGTTCTTTTACATTTTTCCGAAGCGACCCTGACATTTAAAAAGACTCCAACTGCCTCGTTAAAATCACGAAATTAACAGCGTGCCTACGTCTGGCGCGTTGTGTCTGTGTGTGCGTGGTTTTTTCCGTGACTCCCCCACATCAGTCTTTGGGGGTGGTCCGCGAAGGTATTTGATTTGTTGTGAGGCGAGAGATATCTCATTAATGTAGGTAGTTAAACAGATTTAATCCGTATTCATTCTCTCTCACCCCCTCTCCCTCTCCCCCTCTCTCTCCCCCTCTCTCCCTGGGTGTTTTTTTTTTTTTTTTTTTCTTCCCCTCCTTTTTTTTCCCCCTCGCTCTCTCCTCACTCCCTGGCGCTCTCTCGCTCTAGCTCTCTCTCTCGCTCTCTCGCTCTCAACCTTGCTCTGCGTTCTGTCCGGGAGGAGTACAGAGAAGCCAATAGGATGCGGGGTCTCTAATGGATGCAAATGATCATGAAAAGACAGTGCAAAATATGAAACAACTCATTTGCAGGGAAGTAAATCACCGAAAACTGTTTATGAACTGGCATCCTTTCTTCGAAATGTAAAGCGAGGACCTCTTTAAGTGGCGGTATATTTTTGTTTGGGGGGTGGGGGGTGGGGGGAGGGCGAGCGAGCCGGCTGCCATGCAAGCTTAGACTTTTGGAGGCTTCGCTGTCCTTTTCTATTCCTGGAAATCACAAAAAGTGTGGTGGCTTCGAGATCTTCTTCGCCTTTTCTTTCTTTTTTTTCCTCCTCCCTTTCCCTCTCCTTTCCTGGCGAGGGTGACTAGGAGCCGGCGAATCCGCGTTTTTTTCTCTCTCTCCCTCCCTTTCCCCCTCCCCACCCCCTCCCCAACAGCCCCCAACTACAGCCGCCGCCGCCGCCGCCGCCTCAAAATTCAATAAAATGAGCTCTTATTTCGTCAACTCACTGTTCTCCAAATACAAAACTGGGGAGTCCCTGCGCCCCAATTATTATGACTGCGGCTTCGCCCAGGACCTGGGCGGCCGACCCACCGTGGTGTACGGTCCCAGCAGCGGCGGCAGCTTCCAGCACCCGTCGCAAATCCAGGAGTTCTACCACGGGCCGTCGTCGCTGTCCACGGCTCCCTACCAGCAGAACCCGTGCGCCGTGGCGTGCCACGGGGACCCGGGCAACTTCTACGGCTACGACCCGCTGCAGCGGCAAAGCCTGTTTGGTGCGCAGGATCCAGACCTGGTGCAGTACGCAGACTGCAAGCTCGCTGCCGCCAGCGGCCTGGGCGAGGAGGCCGAGGGTTCAGAGCAGAGCCCGTCGCCCACCCAGCTCTTCCCCTGGATGCGCCCGCAAGGTGAGCTCGCGGCAGAGCCGGCGGGGCGGGAGAGAGACTTGAGGGCCCGAGGCCGGGCAGGGGGCTGGGCAGGCCGGGGCCTCTTTCCTCCAGCTCCTGGAAGACTTGCCTGCTCCTTTCAGATGGCCCCTTCCTTCCTTCCTTCCTTCCTTCCTTCCTTCCTTCCTTCCTTCCTTCCTTCCTTCCTTCCTTCCTTCCTCCCTTCCTTCCTTCCTTCCTTCCTTTTTTGTTTCCCTTGAAGGAGGGTCGCTAAGAGACATTTCCTGAATCCGTAAACCCCTCACCCCGCCTTACTTTTCTTCTTCTCCCCCTCCTTTTCCCCCCTTTTACTGTTTTATGGGGGGTAGTGGAGAGAGGGTGGTGGGAGTGGGGGCGCTCAACTTTTGCACTTCTCAATTGCTTTATAGTTTAATTACCCTGAAGAAACTTTTCTTCTGGGGCAGAGGCTCTGGGGGCTTTTCAAGGTGGGTCCATTCGTCCCCATCCTGGCTCTTTTATTCTTATTTTTCCCACTCCTTCACATCCTTCCTTCTAGTTTATGGCACTTTTAATAGATTTGAACCACCCCACCTCACTCTCTGTTGCTTGTTACCAGAGGAGGGGGCTCTCCCTTTCTGGTTCTCTTAAATTCAATGGTGTCTGATCCCCCTCACACACACACCCCGAATTCGGCCTCCTAGCGCCCCCTCCCCCGCGCGGGGTAGAAGGTTCCCTGTCCTTATTATACTGGTCTCCAAGGCTGGTGGTTCACGAATCTTCCAACCTTCTCCGTCTCTGTCCCCTCCCCCACCCTCTCCTCCCTTCTCTCTCGCCTTTTCCCCCATTCCCAGCAGCCGCCGGACGCAGGCGAGGCCGACAGACCTATAGCCGCTACCAGACCCTGGAGCTGGAGAAGGAGTTCCTATTTAATCCCTATCTGACTCGCAAGCGGCGGATCGAGGTATCGCATGCGCTGGGACTGACAGAGAGACAGGTCAAAATCTGGTTCCAGAACCGGAGGATGAAGTGGAAAAAAGAAAACAACAAAGACAAGTTCCCTAGCAGCAAATGTGAGCAGGAGGAGCTGGAGAAACAGAAGCTGGAGCGGGCCCCGGAGGCGGCGGACGAGGGCGACGCGCAGAAAGGCGACAAGAAGTAGGCTCCAACTGGGACTGCTAGGGCCGCGGTCGTCCTCCGTCCGCGAGTCTCCGGACCGCGCTGCTGTCGCCCGCCCCCGCCCAAGAGAGCTCTGGTCCTGCGAGCGGGGCCCGGAGCTTGGCCTCCCACCGCAGCGTCCCCACCGCGCCAGTCCCCGCTAGTGGTAGTATCTCGTAATAGCTTCTGTGTGTGAGCTACCGTGGATTTCCTTCCCTTCTCTTGGGGGCCCGGGGGGGAAAGACAAGGATTGTATGCAAGGACTCCCTCGCCCAGCGAGGGTGAGCGGCTGCGGCTTGGCTGAGCACCCCCTCCCCACGCCCCCGCCCCGTGTAAAAAGCCTCCTTGTGCAATGGTCTCTTTTCCTTTGAACGTGCTTCCTTGTATTGACCGAGGTACCGATTTCTGCTAAGTTCTCCCAACAACATGAAACTGCCTATTCACGCCGTAATTCTTTCTGTCTCCCTCTCTCTCTTTTTCTCTCTCTCTCTCTCCCTCCTTCCTCATTTCCTCCTCCCACTCCTCTTTCCCCGCTGCCCTCCCTAGCTCGCTGGCTTTCTCTCTTGCTTCTCTCTTTTCCTCCCCTCCCCTTTGGTTTGACAATTTTGTCTTAAATGTTTCTCAAAAGAGGTTACTTTAGTTAGCATGCGCGCTGTGGGCAATTGTTAAAAGTGTTCTTAGGTTTACTGTGAAGAGAATGTATCCTGTATCCGTGAATTGCTTTATTGGGGGGAGGGAGGGCTAATTATATATTTTGTTCCTCTATACTTTGTTCTGTTGTCTGCGCCTGAAAAGGGCGGAAGAGTTACAATAAAGTTTACAAGCAGGAACCCGAGACTGGCCGGGCCGCGCTCCTCATTTGCTACAGGCGCCTTGCAGAGCTGGGAGGAGCCGGTCACCGGGCTCCTGCGCCCGCCTGGCCAGGCCCTGCGGAGGAGGGGCGGGGGCTGGAGGCAGGTGGTGCGAGTCCCTTGGCCCAGGGGCGCAGGGGGTGAGGGAGGCGGCTGTTTGTGATTGGAGGAGAGAGGGACGAGGGAGGGGAGCCAAGAGAAACCCCCACCCTTCCCTTTCCGACGCTGCGTGGCCCTGGAGACCCCAGCCCTGGCCAAGCGGGAGAGATGCGCCTGGGCTGATGGCTATATCTTAACTACCTTCCCCCTTTGTTTCTGTGTGCCCTCTTGTGTGTGCGTGGGTGGGGGAAAGAGTGCAGAGCTACTGAACAAGCTTAGATATTTTTATTTTTCCTGGACTCTGGTGGGGGGAGCAGGAAAGGTGAGATGCTCTTCCCTGCCTCTCCCTCTCTGGGACTTGGCCACCTAGGCCCAACTCCGAGGTCGTCGTGGCTCGCCACCTTCCTTCCTTCGCTCCCTCTGCTTCTCTGGCAGCTTCTCGACGGAGGCATCCGCCTCCCGGAACCAGAAGAGCCAGTGTACCAGCCGCCCTCCTCCCTTCCTTTTTCTTCTCACTCACCCCACCCCTTTCCCTTTTTGTTTGTTTGTTTGTTTGTTTGTTTAATTTCAAACCTTTTTTTTTTTTTTAAAGTCACCAGATAACGCAGCATCCAACGCCCGTGGGCTGGATCCCGCGACTCTAGGAACACCCACGAAGTCTGGCTCCTTCCCTGCCCGTATGTCTGGGGCACCGAGAGAGAGCCTGACGCCAATCTCACCTCGTTCCTTACTTCAGGAGAACTGGGCTGAGTTCTCCCAAGCAATGCCGAACTGGTCCGAATTAATAAAGACCTGAATTACCAGCACCCACCGCCCCGTTGCGTGCAATCCCTGCATTTGTTTCTCGCTGGGTAACGGGCTGGGAAGGAGGGGTGGGGGTGACAACATGGGTCTCTCGGAGGTTATTTTCCTTTCCACTCAATCCCTTCCTCCCTAAATCTCGCTGGCAAGCTGCCTCCAGCCCACGGGGGTCGACAGCGGCCCTTGAGCCCCCAGCCCCAATCCACAGGGCTTGGCTTCCCCATTCATTATTGATCATATTTTATAAATCCAACACCACACAATTTTTTCCACATTACCGGGAGCCGTGGGGAGGCTGCCCAGCCATTGGCAGAGGGGATGTCACGTGGGAGGGATCACGTGGTCCAAAGAGGAAAAAGGGGGTCCTTTTTGGTGTAAATCTGGACTCTAATTCTGTAATATATCAAGGAATCTCGTAAAACCGACACTAAAACGTCCCTGCCTACAAATCATCCGGCCAAATTATGAGTTCATTGTATTATGCGAACGCTTTATTTTCTAAATATCCAGCCGCAAGTTCGGTTTTCGCCACTGGAGCCTTCCCCGAACAAACTTCTTGTGCGTTTGCTTCCAACCCCCAGCGCCCGGGCTATGGAGCGGGGTCGGGCGCTTCCTTTGCCGCCTCGATGCAGGGCTTGTACCCCGGCGGGGGGGGCATGGCGGGCCAGAGTGCAGCCGGCGTCTACGCGGCCGGCTACGGGCTCGAGCCGAGTTCCTTCAACATGCACTGCGCACCCTTTGAGCAGAACCTCTCCGGGGTGTGTCCCGGCGACCCCGCCAAGGCGGCGGGCGCCAAGGAGCAGAGGGACTCGGACTTGGCGGCAGAGAGTAACTTCCGGATCTACCCCTGGATGCGAAGCTCAGGTAACGCCGCGCACCGAGCCGTCCCGAGCCTCAGTGGCCCGGGCACACTCCCCAGAAGGCGCCCCCTTCCTGGCCAAGTGCCCCGTTCCGCGTCCACAGTGCTCCCGACAGGAGGTGGGCCTTGGGGACGCGGCACCCCCTTGGACGAGACCCGGCGCGCTGCCTCCACCCTTATTTTTGCTTGGCGCTCTCAGAGAGGTTCGCTCTGCTTCCCGGCGGATCTCTCTCCGCCGACGCCACGGCGCTCGGAGCCCCCAGCTCGCCCCCCACCCTTCCTCCCGGCCTTTTAGCTTTAAATATTTATCAGCCGCGCCGGCACGGGCTGGAGACGAGGCCGTTTGTCTTGCGGAGGAAGGCTGAGGTTTTCAGAGAATAGCCATTAGGGTCCTCCCTCCTCCCCTCCCCCGTCCCCCCGCTGGGGGATCTCAGCTCTGGGTGTGTCCCCCAGACCCAGCTTGGATAAGGTCTAGGGGAGGGGGCTGCAGCACTGAGCAGTTCTCCCCTCCCCCTTCCTTCCCAGCCAACCCTGCTCCCCCATTATTCCCTTCTGGACAATTAGAGGTGGGCTCTAGAGGCCTGGCGGGAGGAGGGGGTATGAGAGATTAGGATCCAGCCTGGGACACAGAGCCAGAGAGGCAGGTGGAAAGAGGGGGTGGGCTGAGGCCAAGAGAGAAGAGGCTCCTGACCCCCCAGTGAACTTGGGAAGGGGGCAGCAGGAGAACTAAAGGGGCAGAGGCCTCTTGGGGGTATAACTGGCTTCCTCAGGTGCCCTTCCTAGGGCTCCCAAGCACCTCTGGAGAACTGGCCAAATTTGTAGGTATTATTCCAAAAGGTGAATGTCCCTTTCTGGGAGGCACTAGGACTTTATGGAGCCAAATCAAGAATTAGAAAGTACAGACCACTGAGCCAGCTGCTGTAGGAACCCCAAGAGACCAGGTGCTTCATGGGGTTTCCTGACAAGCCTTTACCATACATCCTTCCAACCCACTAAGGCCCAAGACTTGTGTTCAAAGGCTCCAATCCAGCCAGAGTTGAGGGCCAGGAGAAGACCAGCTCTTACACCATCAGTATTGATGGTCACGGTCCCCATTACCTGCTCCATAATTAAACTGCCTTTCCAGTTGATTTACCAAAGCCCCAATTTTTCTGCTCATAAACATTTCAGCTTGGCTTTTATCTGACTTGAAATTAGGGCCCCTGGTCCTTCCTCCTTCTGGCTTCTTCCCTGGAGGGCTGACACCAGCACCTCCCCCAGTACAACCTCCCCTAAACCTCCTCCGGGTTTGGGGCCTAACCTGGGAAGCTCTCCTCTGTCCCTCAGCCCCCACCACAGGGATACTTTATGTTCTACCCCCAACCCTGGCTGCTGTCTGTACTCTCCCCCCTGTGCCTTCCTGAAGGCCCAAAATTTGCTTTTGAGAGCTAAGTTGTTTGAGCAGGTGGGCAGGCAAGACAGCCTGGCCCTGACAGAACCTCAACCACTCACTGGGAAATAGTCATCAGAGGGCAGCTGCTCTCAGACCAACTCCATGCTCCAAGGAAATCTGCAAATCCTCACCAACTCATTTCACAACAGGCTGGGGGGAGGGATGGAGGGGAGCAACTGGATTTGTGAGGGTCCTTTGTCTCCTTTCTTTTTGGAGAAAGCACTCAGGCCAGGTCTAGAGCCTTACATCAGGATCATTCACATGGTTTCCATTGCCCCCTGCCCCAAAGACCATCAGAGCCAGCATCCAAAAGAGAAGGTTTGAGGTCCCTAGTCTTGAGGGTATTGGAAGGATTAGGTCCTTTCAACCCATAAACACTCCTAAGGCGCTGGGTTTTTAACAGCCAGTAGTTTAGATGTTGGGTTCAGAAGTCCTAGGCTGGAAGACTTCTGGGCTGGAAAATGGGAATATTTGCCTTCGACGGCCTATAGAGATGTCGGCACACTGAGGAAGAGAGTGGGCATAGACTGGGGTATGGAAAGTGAAATTTTGGTTTAATGGGAAAATGGGCTCTTCTAACTACTGACTCCAAATCACACACAGGATCTAAGAGGGAGATGGGCACTCTAGTGACTTTTCCCCGCATGCACTGATTTTTCTCTACTGTTTTCAGGGACCGACCGCAAGCGAGGCCGCCAGACCTACACCCGCTACCAAACCCTGGAGCTGGAAAAGGAATTTCACTACAATCGTTACCTGACGCGGCGGAGGCGCATCGAGATCGCGCACGCGCTCTGCCTCACGGAAAGACAGATCAAGATCTGGTTCCAGAACCGCCGCATGAAGTGGAAAAAGGAGAACAAGACCACGGGCCCCGGGACCACTGAACAGGACAAGGCCGAGGCAGAGGAGGACGAGGAAGAGTGAGGGATAGAGAAAGGGTAGAAAAAGAGAGAGATGAGAAAGGGAGAGAGGGAGAAGCCCAGCTTTGGGAACCGAACCAGGAAACTCAGATCAAATATGGGAGAAAACCCTATTGAAATGGAAAGCAGTTTAAAAAAAATTTAAGGAGAAAGGGTGAAATTTTGGTTTCTTAACACTGAAAACAAAAACTACCTGTAGAAAAGTCCACCGGGTTTGTTTTGTACAATATGGGAAGGACATCATCTACCTGTTCTCCCCTTTTTGCCTCCCCTTTTCTATGTCGCTCTTGTAAGGTCTTTGTAAAATTTTGCTGTTTTGTAAACCCCCTTCTTTGACGCTGTCTTCGTGGTCTGTGGGTCTGGACTAATGTGTGTTGTTCCCCTGCCCTCTTGAGCCCCTGCCTTCCCAGTAGAGGCACTGAAGGGGCCTTAGGGAGCCCCAAGGACCCACTGACTAGCTCCATTGTCCTCTCTGTACACCTTCTGTACACCTGCCCTGCCTGATGCTCCTTGCTCGCGCCAGCCCTTGTGATCCTCTATACATTCTATGTGTGTCTGAAAAATGGAGAAATAAAACACAATTTAAAAACAAATGGATGCTCTATTTTCTGTGTCTCCCTAAAGCTGGGAGGGAGTCGGGGTTAGCTCTGCATCCCAGCACCCATCTGCTGTAACTTTTGCTGCTGTCCTACTTCTTTCTGTGCTGCATTTTGTTCATTTTCCTGGTGCCCCTACTCTGGGGGCTGCCAACTAGTCAACTCCAACATCACATACACATTACGTTCACTTTACTTTTTTTTACACACAGAGACAGAGACACACACAAATGCACACAATCACATATTGACAGGCTGACATCACACATAGATAAATATATATTGTCACATAAGGTCACAAAGAAACACTCATTTATATGTTCACAAATACACATACAGGCATTCACACATCCCAGCTCTATGCCCAGACACACGCATTTATGTTCACACACACTCACAAGTAAATGCATTCACACTCACTCACAGACACATTGGCTTATAAACACAGATTCACATTTGCCCCCCCAAGTAAACACATCCCTGAGCCCACATGCTCAATCACACACATTCACAAAACAAAATTAAACTAAACCAAATCCCCACAGTTCCACAAACTTCCTCAAACAGGCCTTCAAGCCAGGCTGGGGGCTCGGCAGTGCCGCCAGGGCCCAGGGCTAAAATGTAAAATGCTGAGCCCCATACAGAGGAAGAGGTGAAGGGAAGGGAAAATGACCAGCCAAATCCACACCGATTCTTGGGCGGTGTTGGGCGGAGGCCAGGCCAGCAGCAGAGACCCCGAGAGGCCTCCAACGCCAGGGCGCTCCTGGCTCCGCGCTCACTCGGCAAATATTTTCCACAAGAGCTATTCGGTTATTTTATTTCAATTTATTTTCATTAATATACTCTAAATTAACACAGTGACCCAAATAAAACTTTAAAATGGAGGCGGGGAGACCGAGCCGAGAGGTCGTTCATTGCTAGTTTACCGGCTAGTGTGGCCGCATCCTGGAGCTCTGAGCCTGCCGCGCCGCCCGTCCCTGCTCCGCCGGCTTCCTCCGCCTCTCGGCCCGCTCTCCGCGCTGCCACCAACCTGGAGTCTCCTCCGGAGCACAGAGAAAGAGAGAAAAAAGAAAAACATTTTGGGGAAGTTATTTCGTTTCCTGAATTTGGGCGCTAGTAGCTTAATTCAAAATACGGGAGAATTTCAGGGAGGCTGGGAAACAGGAGGTGAATTTTGTTGTTCTTAGGGTTGCTTTTGCTCCAAAAATACTCCCCAATTGATGGACAAAACCTCGGAGATTGGCGTCTACGAAGATAGACCTGCGGAGCTGATTTTTAGTATGTATTCGATTATAAACCCTGGATTATTTAAATGTAAAGAACAGCATTTGGACAGACTGGAGGAAGAGGATTGAAAGGGAAGCACGTTTAGAATCTGTTTAATTTGAATTTGTAAGTAAAAGGCCCCTAAACTTGCAATTTCCCCCATCAATGACCGCAGAAACCCCCGGAGAGCACACAGAGTTGTCAATGGGAACCCCGGCTTGTGGGCATTTGGGCGGGAGAGGCAGGGATCCCGATTTTGCCGCCTCCAATTTCTGGGGTGCAGAGGTGAGAATGTGGTTGCTACACTATCCTCCTTGGTCTCCATCAGGGCCACCTTTCCTCCCTAGGGGAAAATAGGCCCCAGGGAACATAGGGCCCCCAGGCCAGCAATGCTGCAAGACTCACAGGTGGGGGGGTCCAGCCATCAATAGAGCTGGGAATGAGGGGGGTGTTCAGAGGAGTAGAGGGGGCAATGAAGCTTTCATTTTGCCTCCATGCAATTGGCAACTCTGAACACCAGCTGCTGCTCCCGATTCACCCCAAAATTGCCTTGGAACAGTCCCCATATGGGAGTATTTGGGGTGAATTTTTACTAGAAAGAGAGGGCAGAGCTCCTGTGAGAATAAAGAGGTTCCAAAAAGAACCCCCTTCCCAGCTGGACCCTTGTGGCTCCTCGACCTGATTGCCTGCACCCCGAATCTCACCCCTTCTCAGATTGGGGTTTCCCAAAAAAAGCAAGAAGGAGAAGAAAAGAAGATGGCGACTGAGAAAAGGGTTGCTGGTGGAGCAGCCATGAAGAAATGCAATAAATTCCTTGTTGTTTTATGAAAATTTACAACTTTGTGATAGAAGTTTATGAGTGGTTGAATCCAGCGATTGGCCGGCGCCGGTCATGTGGCCGGGCGATCGTGAACATGAACTTTTTATCATTTCCCTGGTGGTTATAATGCAGCATTCTTTTGGACACCACACCTAGGTCGGAGCACTGTCGTCCTTCAGGGCTCCAGCCTCTTGATATTTTTATACTTCAGTATCAGTTTGATAAAGCAAAAGAGAGGAAGAGAGAGGGGGAGAGGAAAGAAGAGAGAGGGGGAAGGAGGGGGTGGGAATTACACAAAAGAGAGAACCAAAAATAATTTTAATTCCTAAGTTAATTTCCTTGCTGATCTGGGATTTTAGTCATCATGGAGGGGAAGTGGACAAACTGCCCAGGACTGCAGCCTGATACCATTTTTCAAAGCCAGAACTTACTCCATTTTCTATCCAAATATCAGAAAAATGAAACACTCTCTCTCCCAAGTCAGAGAAGGGGAAGCGACGGCTCTCAGGTTGGGACAATATTATCTGGAAGATGAAGAAGCCAAACGCTCTTTTTTTTTTTTTTTTTTTTCTTCCTCCTTCCTCCCCACCCCTCTCAATCGGAGGAAAAGAAACCTCAAGGTCTGCAAAGGTAAGGGAGATTCTACAATTCTCTTCTTCTTTTGCCTCGATTTTGTAGGTGGGGCTTGGGTTTGTTTCCCCCCTCCCCTGTCCAAGACGGGGCTGAACCCCACCTCTGGGTGCTGCAGGGAGAGGCTTCCCAGAAAATGCGTTGGCAGAGAGAGGGGTGGCTGCTTCCTGGAGGGGGAGCGAAGGCAGGGAAGATGGGAGGAGGAATCGAAAGGGGCCGAAGGCTAGCTCTAAGTCGCCTTTTTAAGCTGGGAGAAGAGGCTCCAGCGAGGGGTCTGCGAAAGAGAGGATGGGGGCTTTCAGGCACCCGCAGAAGCCAGTTGATATGGCTTCTGTGGGTTTGTGCCCCCACCCCCTCCCACCTCGTTCTGGCCTCCCCCAGTTGCCCCCACACTGCTCTCTTGCCCAGTTCGGGTGTCGGCAGTTTCACGACAGCATTGGCATGAGGGGCGGTGGTGCTGAGGGACGTCCTGGTCTCTGGAGGGCCTGGAATCTCCGCAGAGGCCAGCGAGGGCAAGGAGGCGGCTAGAGAGAGACAGAAAGAACAATTTACAGAGAAATGCTTATTAGCTCTCTTCGGAGACATTTCTGAAATTAAAAGGCTGTACGTGGAGGCACCCAAATGGAGCTATCCCCCACCCCCCACCCCAAGCCTGCCTGAGAATGCCCAGGTCGCTTGCTATTCCCACAGGAGGGAGCCTCGCTCTGCAGGGAGACAATTTTGTGGTTTTTAACGCGGTAGGTTACAGTGTGTTGGTTTCTGTGCAATGCTGATTCTATTACTTGTGTTTTATTGGTATGGGGTGTGGGGATTTCGGTGGAGGAGAAAATTGCCATGTGTGTGACTGATGTTGAAACATTTCAAACTTTCCTGGATCCAAACCTGGTGATTGTGAAGAAACTGATTAATCTGTTGTTGTTGAAGACTATAAACAAAAACAAAAACATACAAACAAGAGAGAGGAAAAAAATAAAAATAAAACCCAATTAGGGGGCCTAATGGTGTCTGGACTGGAAACCTGCCTGGCGCTGAGCTCAGACAGCTAATCCTGTCCCTCCAGCTCCTGATTTCATTCCTCAGCAGGCTTCCTGAGGGGGAATCTTTGGGCTGGAGACAGAGATTCCTAAAGTAGCTGATGGGGTGGAAGATGCGCAAGCCTCTAGGTGAGGACTTAAAATAGAGCGAGAGAGCTTTTGAGGAAGCTGCAAGCCAACAGATAAGCAACTTTGGGCGCGGAGGGTAGGAGAGACTGATTTAGTTTGGTTTGCCATTAGGTGATTGCTTTTCTCTTCTTAAAGACCAGATGCAGAGCATTTAGCCTTAGGCTTCTGGCTAGCAAGGAATTGCAGGGTTTGGAGGCTGTGTAAGGGGATACATGGCCCTCTCAATCCTGAGCTGGAATAAAGGGAGACTCAGCCACTTGTGGCACGGGAGGGGTTACTGGAGGCCCAGGTAGATGCCCTTCTAGAAGGTGGGGATTGGGTGCCTGGAGGGACCCCTTACTGCACATAGCCAGAGAAGTTCTCGGCCAGCACCCATGGCACTTGAAGCCTATTCTCAAAGGGAAAATTCCCCAAACCCACCCAGACTAAAGGTCTTTTTCTCCTGTAGTCTCGGCGGGGTATAAATCATCCCTTAGACAGTTTGCTGTGACCCAAATTATGCGGTTTGCTGCCATCTACCGTCCGTTCAGAGATATGGGGCTTCGGCACCACAGGCCGCGCGACGCTGCCTGAATCGTGCCCGACGCCTGGAGCCTGGTCGCTCAGGTTTGGCGGGATTCGAGGAACTTGGGT